AGTTGTCGGAATTTGTCGTAACCAGGATGGATAGACTCGGAATTCTTTTGCGAGCAAGTTGTCCTGAAGAAATGTTTTCAAAATATGGCCGGAAAGGTCACTGTTCATGCCGGAAAAATATAAAAGTGGTCGGAATTTGATTTGAATTAGATGGGTATGCTCAGAATTTTGAGGAGAGCACACTGTCCTGAAGAAGCTTCGCGAAAAAATGGCCAGAATCCTCGCCGGAAAAGTTGTTGCCGGCGCGTGGAGGAGCGTGGCGGCTTTTCTGCCGGATAAAATTTCAGGGGTTGGTCGTAGGAAGGTGATCTACCTCGTGGTGGTGTTGGTTTTAGCACAACACCGACAGAAAGTGACTTTCACTTAGACAAGCCTTAGATCACCGGAAAAATTGCACGATGACTAAGTTCTTTCTTCCCGGTTAACGCTGGAATGACGCACAACGATCTTTTCTCACTAATGCTCTGATACCATGTGAGAAGGCACATGAGAAAATATGTTATTGATATTGGATGATAAATACAATACAAGAGGTCCCAATTTATAGCTATACACTACAAGGGGATATTACTCCTCTTCCAATGTGGGACAAGACTACACTATACATATCTCTAAACTAACAGATTAGATGAATTAAATTTAGCCTCACTAATGTTAAATACTCCATCTTAATCAACAAAACTCCAGTTGGTTTTTCTCTCCACAAAAAGGGATAAAACAAGGAGATCCCCTATCCATGGAGGGAATAAGCAAAATGCTTGACAAGGCAAAACAAATGCAGTGGATTGAAGGGTTTAAGGTGGGCAATAGTGCAGCTACCTCAGTCACAGTATCACATTTATTATATGCAGATGACACTATAATATTTAGTGGGGCAGAGAAGCTACAAGTGCAATATCTGAATCTGACACTATTACTTTTTGAAGCTATCTCAAGGTTGCACATCAATTAGGTGAAAAGTTTAATTTACCCTGTGAATGTGGTGCCTAGTTTGGAAGAATTGGCAGGCATTATGGGTTGTGGCATTGGCTCTTTCCCAACAACATATCTAGGCCTTCCTTTGGGAGCAAAGTACAAAGCAATTGAAGTTTGGAATGGAGTCATTGAGAAGGTAGAGAAAAGACTGGCAACATGGAAAATGCAGTATTTGTCTATGGGAGGGAGATTGACACTGATCAATAGTGTTCTGGACAGTATTCCAACTTACATCATGTCTCTTTTTCCTATGCCAAGCAAAGTTCAGAAGCAACTGGACAAAATTAGATGATCTTTTCTATGGGAAGGTAAGGTCATAAATTCCACCTAGTTAAGTGGTCCAAAGTAGTTATGCCAAAGAACCAAGATGGACTGGGTATTAGAGATTTACAAAAGCACAACAAGAGTCTTCTAATGAAGTGGTGGTGGAGGTATGCACAAGAAACCACGAGCATATGGAAGAAGGTGGTCACAACAAAGTATGGGAAGCTGGACAGTTGGAGCACAAAGCAAAGCAGAGCTCCACATGGAGTGGGGCCATGGAAACATATTAACAATCTGAAAGAGGAATTCTTTCAAGAGGTGTCCTTCAAAGTTGGGAATGGCAGCTCTGTCAAATTCTGGAAGGATAGGTGGCTCCAAAATCAACCTCTAAAAGACTCACACCCTGGCATATATCAGATAGCTATTGAACCTAACTCAACAATAGCCCAGAACAGAGCAGGGAGCATATGGGAACCTCATTTCAGGAGAAACATGCAGGACTGGGAACTTGATGAACTCTTTGACCTATTTAGAATTCTTGAAGGCTTCACAATAAACCCCCAAATCTCAGATAGCGTAAAGTGGGGTAATTTTGCAAGGGTACATATACAATGAAGGCAGGATATAGCAAATTGTGTGCATCAAATGGAATGATTGAGAATTGGCCATGGAAGCATATATGGAGGTCAAAATTACCTACAAAAGTAATGTGCTTCTCTTGGACTGCCCTTAGAGATGCTATCTTGACCCAAGACAACTTATGCAGAAGAAACTTTCAGCTAGTAAATAGATGTTACATGTGCCACAACAACTAGGAATCAGTAAATCATCTTCTTTTGCACTGTCCAGTGGCAACAGATATATGGAATATGTTTTTAGCAGTTTTTGGTATCGGTTGGTCTACTCCTCAGAATATTAAGGAAGCTGGTGAATGCTGGTGCTCATGGAAAGTTGACAAAACCATCAAGAAGATCTGGCAAATGATCCCAGCATGTATTTTTTGGTGTATTTGGACAGAGAGGAACACCAGATGTTTTGATTGCGTTTCAACTTCCAATAGCCTACTGAAATCTAAGTGTCTGATGAACCTGTTTAGTTGGAAACTTGGAATAACCTTTCCCATGTAAACGATGTTATTCCCCTCTCAGATTTCATTAGCTCTCTTACTATGGCTTAATAGTAATATTTTTGGTTTTTGGTTTTGGTTAACTCCCAGTTATATAGGTTTTTTTTGTATTTAGAGTTAACCAAGGTTTTTGAGTTTGTACTTTTTCTGCATCTTCTTGATGCCTTTAATACAACACATTACTTCATCAAAAAGAATTGCATGTCCATTTGGAATGAATCGTTTCTATTCCAATAGTCTTGTAGGAACCTTGTCTGATGCACCAACTCGCAACCTGATATATGGGGGAAAAATAAGAGGAAGAGAGATAAATGCATTAAGCATTACGTTTGTCAAAACAAAGTGCACTGTGACCTACTTATAGAGTAGAGAACCCTGAACAAGCTAGATTTCGGAGACAATTAGAACTTCATTTCTATGAAAAGATAAGGATAAAATTTAAGATTCTCTTGGGAACCTGTGCTTATGGGAAGGATTACTTTGGCAACTTATGTTTGGGGGGTTTGGG